CGATGCTTAAATTACCAATACTATGCGGGGGCTCCCTATTACGATGATCGTATGATATACATTATTGAGGCTCCGATAGTAACCTTGCAGAGGAACCCCTGTCTGGTGGTACAATGCTATTCCACTGCATGCAGTATACTGCGACGGAAGCCTTTCCAAGCAGGGCCTGTGTCCTTCGAGCGGAGGAGGATATGCTCAATGTACGTAGCCAGGCATGCTCTACAGAAGCCTCTCTGTTGGTTCGTTTTCACAGCGCAGGTAGTGTTCCGTAGACCCTAAACCCCCTGACCCTAAGCCTGAAAACGAAGTCAACCCCGCAGCCGAAAACACGAGCCCACCCAGGCCGGTAGGGCCGTCGAGCCTTGAGCCATACGGCAGCCTGTTCGGGTCTTTGCTGCTCAACAGCGAGTTCCAAAACGAGCTACAGCAATCACGGCTTGGGGTTTAGAGCCTAGGGTTTACGGTTCGGCTGTACAACCATCGTTCGGCCCAAGATCCTGTAAGTTATCCCCACCGAAACCAGAAATGAAGATTCAGGATTGTTCAAGAACTAGCAGCCTGCGAAAGCTTGACCTCCAAGCCCATAGCAACTAGCTATGGCATGGCCAGGAGTTTTTGTTTCTTGGCTCCCTTCAGTTCGGAGCCTTCAGTGCCAGGAGAACTTGCTCTTATGGACCGGTGAGCCAGCACCTCGGGGGTCTAGGGTTTAGGATTTTAGGGAATGGGCTTCAAAAGGGCTCGAGGATTATGGGGCTCGGCACATGAGACGACGCACAAGAGTCACCACCGTGGCTCGACAACAGTAACAACCAAGCATCCACAGCGAGCATGAGATAGACTCTCGACTCGATTAAGCCTCAGCGCTCCCAAGAATCTCCTAGGGCCCTGAACCCAAGGCCCCAAACCCTTCACCAAGGACCGTCTATGTGTCTGCAAACGATGGCGAAGGGTGGCTGTACGGCTACTTTTTGGATCCGGAGGCCTCCTGGCAGGGCTTTCTTCTTCATGCATAGCTACCCCCTTTGGTATCATTTTACTGCTCTGATGATCGTCAGTACTGTTATATCTGTCTTATTCACTAGTATGATTTGTTCAGGGTTGTTGTGTTGGGGTTTTAGGGCTGAGAGCTGAGCAGCCGGTATCTTTGTGAGCGTACCCTAACCTCTAAACCCTGAACAGCAAGAGTCGCCCAGAAAAACGTGATCAAGGGTTCTTGAGAAAAGGCGTAAACCCTAAACCCTAAACCCTAAGAACTGACATAGAAGCCTGAACATCTCATAACACTCATCCTAAGGGCTCCTTAGCATAATGTAGGGGCCTATAAATGATTACCTATGCTATTTTGGTGGGTTCTTTATTATAACTATAGTATGTTGGGCCCCCAAACCCCCTATATTAGTCCTTAAGGACCCCAGGTGAGGCTTTAGTGAGCCTGGCAGGTCTACTGGGAGGTCAGGGTTTCAATTAGGGCAATATAGGGGCCTATAATCAGTAGAATAGGGTGTAGGGGCTCTTGTAGAGTATAGTTATAGTAAGGAGCCCTGAAGAATCTTTTGGGTAATTATTTAGGCCTTCTACATTAAACGCGGCATGCTGCGCTTTTTGAGATCGGGACTTTGGGGCGTCGAGAATCGCGTGCATAGAAGTTTCCTGAGCTGGATCGGAATTATATAGAAGCCTGCCTACATCAAACACCCCTGAAAAGCTTGGAAAACCCAACTCTTATGCTTCCCTGCCGGCGGTGGTTATGTACTTTGCTGGCCGTAGGCCCTAAACCCCAGGCTTTACAATCCTCAACCCTAAAACCTAAAACATAGTCCTCAAGGGTTCGATTCCGAAGGATCCCGACGACGGCGGCTGGTTTCCAGCGCCTAGGTGGAAAGGTTGGGGGGAGGTTCCAGGTTCGGCTTCGGCGAGGTTTCGGGTTTCGTGGTGTGGTTGATTTTCCTGTTGAGTGACGGTGGAAAGGGTTCGATTGGGTTTGTTTAGGCTTTGATTTAGTTAGGTTTCGGGTTTGATTCGGGTTTAGGGTCTGGGGCTTGTTTTGATGAGGGTTTAGGTATTATCCGGGTTAAGGGTTTAGTGGCAAACAGGCCTGACTGAGGGCTTTGGGGAGTGTGACAGGGTCACCTCGCAGTCGGAAGCGCTGAATCTAAGCAGACATCCTTGAAGAAGTGACGCCGTCAGGTCCTAAACCTCAAAGCCCCAGCCTTGATACCTTGAAGCGAGTAGGATTTTCGGGCTGATAAGCATAGCGTGAAGAGCAGGTCTCCGTTGATGGAGCTTCGCCGAGGGCCTTCTCAACCGAAACCCTTTATACCAAGTCAAGTTCGTCCAGCAATTCCGAGACTTGAAGAAGCTGAACCTCAAATGACCCGAAATGAAGCCCACTCAACCCAAGCCCGACCCAACGAAAAAGCCAAGAGATGCGGGTGGTTGTCCAAATTCGGGTCGCTTCTGGGTTCCCAAACAATAGGGTGCCGCATTAGGACTTTGACAGTATACCCTGGGACCCTGGGGCCCTAAACGGTTTAGGGTTTAGGGTTTAGGGTTCCTAAACCCAAATCCATATAGAAGCCCTATAGACCCCAACCTTACACCCAAGAAGTCCGAAACCCTCGAGACCCTAAACCCTGAACCCCAAAAGTCCCAAAACCTATACCCTAATAACCTCCCCCGAAAGCCAAAAACCCTAAATCCTAAACCCTACACCCCTAAACCCTAAACCCTAAACCCCTAAACCCTAAACTCCCTCCGGAAGCAGAAATCCCGACACCCCGCCAAGGCAGATGCCGTCGAGTTCCTGGATCTTCCCCCGGCGCGATCCTCAGTCAGAACCTGCATAGGGCTTCTGATTGTGGTTTAGGGTTTAGGGGATTCGGATTTAGGGGTTAAGGGTTTAGTGTTTAAGGATTTAGATTTAGGGTTTAGGGGTTTAGGGTTCAGATGTTTGAATGTTTCGTGGAAGTACCCAAAACTCTATTCCGTGGCTTACGGCTTACGGCCTCCTTAGCGTCTGGGGTGTTTCTGGTGCGCAGCTCCCTGTGAAATTGCCAAATCACATTCCGTTGGCCCTGCGCACTCCCCGAGAAACAGTCCACACACCTTATATTTTGAAGAGAGTTCACAAGGGCGCGTGTTTCTATGGGCATGTCGAAAATTTAGAGATTGCCCGTATACCCCAGTACTACTTGCCACAGACCTGTGAGAAAATTGCACAGGCCTTATTTTCTTGTGTTGCGCTCTCTCTCACTCTGTCTCTCTCTCTCTCTCTCTGTCTTTCTCTTTTGTCCTTGATGTGTTTGTTTGTTCTCTCTCCACAACGCTGTCTTGTAGATGCACGTGTATATGTACAACTAGTACACATACACACATAAAATGCAAAATTCAGATAGACAGATCGGTCCATGTTGTCTCTTCATGTGTCTATGTATGCATCATTTCCACCAAACCCTAAACCCTCAACCCTGATTGTGGCCACGTGAAGGCCGAAAGGAAGCCCCTTGAGGCCCAGGAGGAGGAAGCCGACGAAGAGGCGACCTCGGTTCTAGGGATTTAAGGATTTAGGGATTTTGGGTCAAGGTTTAGGGCTTATGGGGTTTATTGGTTTGGGTTTTGGGGCTTGGGGATTTGATTCATGGCGTAGGGTTCAGGGTTGATGGTTGAGGGTTTTGGTTTGCAGAAGGTTTAGGGAGTTTGGGGGTTCAGGATTTCAAAAGCTTTTGAGGTTAAGGGTTCCGACGCTTCAGGCTTCTGGGCGAAGGGGGTGTTGGCGAGAGCATGGGTTTACATGATGCAAACCGATGTTGGTATTGGCTGAAGCAATGACCGTTAAGGTATCAAGATCACGACAGTGATTGTTGCTTATCGTTGATTTCAATGACGGCTTTTACTCTGGTGGTGTCCAGGAGTTAGATCTCTAAGTGTAAAGAGAGGGGTGTAGCATTGGAGGAAGATCCCACCGACGAGTAGAGGCGTCTTTTAGGTATCATTATGGGCATGCTTTAGGTATAGAGTTTTTCACCTAGAGTTTAGATATTGCGCGGACCGCGGAGGCAAGCATCAGCACTTTCACGACTTCTACCAGTGAGTCTTTAGAGTTGCTCGTGCAACGCGGTTTGAACCCAAGAACGGCGTGATCTCAGTAGCTTTTGTTTGAACTTCAGCGTGTTGGGAAGGATCAGTCTTGAAAGGTCGAAGTGTTCAAGCCCAGAGGTTTCGACGCTGACCATGTCCGAAACTACCGACCTGATCTCCTGAACAAAACGAAAAAACCCACGGCAACTTGCTCCCTGGAAAAAAAGCACCTTTCAAATCAAATCAGGAGACAGCTTGGGACGACTGGGCCCCTGCAGCCGTACCGGACATCCCGTGGGACGCCGAGCTCAGTGGGATGCGAGATCTATACCTTCAGCAAAACCCCTATATGGCGTTGATGATATATTTAGAGTGTCAACCATAAAGCAAACTCTCGACTCCAAGTTGAGCTCCGGGGGTTTCCAAAGGTGTGTGTACCCTGAGCCCTGAAATGCATCCGAAACCCTAAACCCCAAACCCGAAATTACATTCGAACCCCCAAACTCTACCTCCTGAATAGGTAGGGTTATCTACATGAGCAATGCAACTAGTATCACAACCATTTCCTGCCCCAACTAATAAGGTAATTATTTGTGAATTAGAATCGTGCTTGGCCCCAAATCCTCTAGGTACTCTTCAGGAAAGAAGCTGATGCGACTAGGGATAGTTGCAGGCCTTGGTCTTGCAGTGATGTGCCGACACGTCGTGAACATGACCATGGTCAACAGCAAGCTCAGCGACATCGTCCTCACCCCTCTGAACATGACTAAGCATCACTGTGTAGGGGCCAGACATAGGCCATGTTAGTTAAGGTGGTTTGAGAGGTCAAGATCTTGGTCTTGATTGCCCGCACTTTGCTGCTGCTGTTCAGGCTGGTGCCGAGGAATCTCAGGTAGCACCTGCCTTCGTTTCGATCTGCTGCCATGGGTTGCGCAGGAAGCTGCCCAAAGCCTGTGCGTTCGACGTCCTGGGATGCGCGCAATACAAAACTTAGCGCGGTCGCTTACCTTGATTGAAAAGTACATTTCCGGTGCTGGATGTCTCATATGTTCATTTTTGTCGCTACCGTCGTCACTTTATAGGTCGAATCCGCCGATGACTACTATTGACGCTTAATGCACAACCGGAAACTACTTCACCATCACACGTAGGAGTTTCCGTAATGCGAAATTCTAAGCCAACCTTACCTGAAGCCCGAAAAGCTCCAGGCCCTAAGCCGTACTCGTGACTCAGCGGGTAGCCTGCCTGCCAATGGATCTTCAAGTCCAAGCTCATGTGATGTGATGTTTTAGGGGTATATGGAGATATCGCATGCAGGCCTCCAGAGATAGGCCTGGGGTTTACATCATTCGGTGTTCCTGCTGTGGTCGCTGTCGCTGTGGCTGTCGCTGTATCTGTGGCTGCTGCTGCTCCTGCTCCTGCGCTTGCTCTTGCTCGTTGCGCTGGCGTTCTGTAGTTCGCGAAGAGGCCGGGTCCAGGTTTAGGACCCTGCGAAGCTTCGTTCAAGAGCTGGTGGAATATCGCTCAACTCTCAACGGCCCTATGTATAGGCAACGCTCGTAGCATTCAGGACATCGATTCTCTGAGGTTCTGCCTAAAGGTGTGAACTTGCCCCCAGATCGCGAGACGCACGAGCTCTACGTGCAGCAGCTCGGAACGACTTCTTTGGCATGTAGGTCTGTGACTTGTGTAGCTTAGCGCTCCAGGCTTCCCTCATCTAAAACCCTAAACTAAGTAAACCTAACTGCAGGCTGCATTGCGCTCGGCACCTGAAGGGCTTGGGTCTTGGCATTCACATCTCTTTGTTCAAGATGCCCGAGCCGATTGTTCCGTGTCAGTGGTGTGCCCATTTACACTTGGTTTGCACTGAACTCTCAACAATTATCTTAGTGATTCTGAATATGCCTTACACAACTGTTATAGGAATGTGAAAGCTTTCGGAACATGTCATGTTGGTACTGGCACGTGAAGCCCACAGAAGTCACACTTCTGCAACGTGGAAACCACCACCCTGTGCACTAATGTCGCCAATAGGTTTGTCAGACCAAGCCAACCAACAGCTTAGCACCCCACGAACCACTGAGGCCTTAACTAGCTCTAAACCTCTGACCCTTACACTGTAATCCCTAAACCGTAGCCCCAAAACCCCTTGAGCTCTAAGCTCCCTTGCCCAGGCAGCTGGACAAATACCTTTGCCAGGTTGCAAAGAACCCCAAAGGCTTCGAGAACAAGGCTGGACGTTGGCTAGAATAGCATTTTTGTATATACTTAGGTAGGTCTTTAAATTATGGTCGCTTTTAAGGTTCTTGTATAAGGTGCCGTAATAGTTTTAGGACCTAGCATGGGACTCTAATCTATAGTGCACTACCCATTTGAGTATCATAGTATGTTCTAGCACAGTGGAGTATACCAGGTAGGCAATGTTTTGTTAAATAGCTGTATGAGAATCATTGCTAGTGCAGTGTAGCAGAAGATCGTAGGTCTTAGTTGACTGCAGTATGCGATAGTATACTATAGTACTATACTATAGTATGTTCTTCTGCGGTTTAATGTACGCCCCAAACTCTAGTCGAATCTTGAAGGCCACTATATTCGCTTTTGGTGCCTTATTCAAATGTTTCCGGCATTACAGCTATGACTGTTACTGTAATGTCGAATCTGAAGTCAAAGGCCCAAGCCAGACTTGCCTTAAAGGGACAATGCCATAGAAATCCAAGCCCGGTCCGAACCACTCTCGGAGCCCCAAACCCTGAAGCCCCCCCACACCCCTACTATAGGAGTCTTCATAATTACCTATACTATTTTGGGGGCTCCTCATTTTAAGTATAGTACAATGGACCCCAAAACCCTGTTCTAATTATTCAGGCCCCCACATTAACCGAAAACCCTTAACCACCAAACCTTGGATCCTACCGCGCCGAAAGTGTAGACTCCGCACAGCCAGTCTTTTGTCACGGCTACCTCAGTGAGGTATGCTTGACCCTTCATCATTATTGCTGTCGTCTGTGTTATGATTATGAATATGATCATGATTGTTAGTTATTCTTACTCGTGTTGTGATTATTCTGGCTTCTTGAAAATCTCGGCTCTCTGGCACGTACGGGCAGGCTCTAAACCCTACCTCGGCCCAGGGCGCTGCTGCCCAAACTGCACTGAACCCTTCCTGGGCCCCCAAACCCTAAACCCTATAACGGCATCTCAAGTCTCAAAACCCTAACCCCTGAACCCCTAAACCTGAAGCCTTTGTAACAGTCTTCCAAACTCAGGCCTGAGACCACCTTCAACCCAACCGTAAACCCAGTCAGGGTTTAGGGTTTAGGGGTTTAGGGTAGCATCTGAAACCTTTTATAAACTTCTCCTAAGCACTGAAACCCGAAGCTTCTTGATCACAATCCCCTCAACAGCCTGAGGGTCTCCACCCCACCCCAGCCTTCACACCTAGAACAAGATTCCGTGGCTCATTATAGCGTATGCCCAGGGTTCAGGGCTTATAGGGTGTATATGCAGGTATGTGTATACATGTACATGTGTATGGACTATGCCGTAGACATAATATGACTGACCCTGAAGTGCTTGTTATCCAGCAAAGCTCCGTAACTTCGAAAAAGCCTTGAGGTCGAGACGCGTCGGGAGTTCCGATTTCACGTCTCAGATACTTGGTGGTGGGGGTATAGAGACTAGGCCGTAGTGCGAATTTTAGGAGCTCCTTGGACTGGGGCTGTTGAGGGTGTGTAGTCTGGTTTAGGGCTTGAGTTTGCTAACTTTTGTCCAGAGTTTACCCTAAACCCCGAACTTGATGCAGTGGGATTCTGTGAGCGCCTGCAGACGGAAACCGGCGTTTAAAAAGAAAGCTTAGTGCAGGGTAGGAAGCCTGAGCCAGAAGCCTTGGCATTCATGGCTTCCCTAGGCTTTAGGCCCACTGTTTAAAGTAGCCCAAGTATGGACTGCTACTGATACTGTATGGGGGCAGTACCAGATGCAGAGCTGTTGGCTTGAGGTCTTGAGTTCTGGAGCTTTTGGGCTTGGTTCAGGGCCGTACTATAGAATTGCCAAAATTGCCTCCTTAGTGTTACTATAGTAGTCCTTGGAGTTCCTTACTATAGTTATACTAGCAAGGTGCCCAAGACCCTATTCCACTCATTCAGGCGTCTCCAGGAACGCCCGAAGCCTCCGTCGGGCTAGAGACCCCCTACTTAAACCCGAAAGCTAAAGGTCTTGAGGGTTCCTTTGAGGACTCCTTTAAAGGGCAGCAATAGAGTTCCTGGGTGTCAGGCTTCCTTTAAGGGCTCCTTGAAGAAAAAGTATAGAGTTCCTTCAAGGGTGTTTTCAAAAGGGTTCGGGCCCCCCCTTAAACCGAGGACCTGAAACCAGAAGCCGATTCTACCCATTCTCCATTGTAGTTCTTCGCTTTGGTTTAGCCAATGATGTATATAGGATCCTATAAGGTAACTCCAACAAGGAACTACAATGTAGACCAGAGGTAGGTGGTGCTCCGTGCCAAGGACAGGCTTGCGGAAAAGATGGGAACCAACCGACACGCCATCCCTTCCGTGAAGTCGCCGGAAGAGGCCCTACGAACACTCTCACAGCTTCGATGCCTTGAGAAAACAAACACAAGACCCTAAGCCGAAACCCCAGCAATCTCTCCCACTGCAAACCCCATTGTTTACCTTGGTTATACCTTCCTGGATTTCGGCTTCAGCGGTGTTTCGCCTTTCTATCACACTACCTGGCTTTTTTGTCTATTTTCCAAGGGGCGGGGCCCCTCCATCGGAACGGCCCTTCTAACAAGACCAAGACCCGAAGCACCAAAAGACTCTGAAACCTTCCCCCCAAACCCGAAACCCCCAACCCTACAACCTACTTAACCGCTCTGACAAAATGACCCCACCAAACCCTAAACAGGAACCCAAGCCTCCACCTGGGTTCAGGGTTTAGGATTCCTGTTACGGGTTTAGGGTTGAGGGTTTAGGGTTCAGGGTTTAGGATTCCTGTTACGGGGAATGTTGGGCCCTGCACCCGTATTGAGGGACTTCGGATTTGACGTTTTGCAGTCATGCTTTCTCGCTTAGTGCTTCGGTGGTTAGGCTTTGATCACTTAAGGCTTTCTAGGGTTCAGTTGGGTTCAGAAAACGCTTCAGTACTTAGGGTTTTGTAGCAAGTTTCAGGGCTTGAGATGCCCCTTAGGGTGGAAGCAGCCAGGAAGACAGGTTTTAATGCTTGCAACGGTAGCACAGAAGCCGAAATGGTCACCCCCACTATTCCTGCAGGTTTATGACTGTAAGTTTCAGGGTTTAGGGTTGAGGGAAGTGCATTCAATATACCCCAAGTCCTTATGTTTGACGAAGGTTTGAATGCCCGGTGGCGGAGCCTTCGGGGACCAGGGTTCTACATGTAGGACTCCGCGCGTGCGAGTTGCCGGCCAAGAGTTGTGGGATCTGCAAATTTAGGATCAAATTTAGGTCCTCAGGGGTTTGGAGGTTCATGCAAGCTTAAACCCTAAACTCTGAAGCCTAGACCCAAAACCTTAGGTACCAACACCTTAGCAGCAACCCTCATAGAGCCCTAAAAACAAACACTTCAAGAAAGTAGAGGAGCCCTGGTGGCACTTATAGAAGCCCTGAAAGAAGCGTTTAATATAAGAAATCCTAGTAGCCCTTCTAGAAATCTTTGCAGAACCTCAGAATCCGTTGAAGCCCTGCAGGCCAGTTGGGAGGCCGTCAGCACGAAGCATCCTTCGTCTTGTCGCGCACCACGCGCGGAGTCGGCGTCGGATTCTTGGTTTTCGGTGGGGCCAGGTGTTGATGGCTTGTGATTTCAGCCCCTCGCGACCCAGGATTGCCCAAGATTTGTGGTGTTTGGGGTGTAGGGTTCGGTGAAGATTGAGATCTCGGTGCTGCTGGGAGCAGGGTCTGCTGAGATCACCAAAAAATTCAGAACTCCGGTGGCGTGAGTTGCCCAGTGTATCTCGAGGGACAGTGCCACTTTTTTGCTTGTTCCCCGTGCTTTGTGCTGCGCAGCTCAAATCCTTTTCCATCGGAGTTGCCCTCAACTTCCTGGCAAGAGCACCCACCTGTCAGTGACAGTGCAGTAGGTAGGTTCTGACAGCCCGGTTATGTTTCAAGTGTGTTTACCACATCCGGGCTCCTTTCCACCGACAAGCCTGTTGGACAACTTGTCATCATGAGGAGGGGGACAGACAATGCTCTGCCAAGCTACTCCCCGCAGATGCATGCATGTTCAGAGGTCGGTTTCCGCTAGGCTAGCCTCCTCTCCCGAACTCCGAGACGCAAAGTCTCAGCCGGTTCTTGCTGTTGCTGCTGCTCCTACGGCTTCTGCTATTGCAACTGCAAATGCTGCTGCTGGGGCTACTGTTACTGCTACTGCAGCTGCTAATGCTACTACGACTACTACTACTACTACTACTACTACTTCTACTACTACTACTACTACTACTACTACCACCACCATTACCACTACCACTACCACTACCACTACCACCACCACCACCACCACCACCACCACTGCCACCACCCACTCTTACTCCTGCTCCTGCTCTTACTCCTACTCCGACCCCTACCCCTATTGCTGCTTTTGTTTCTATTAGTACTACTACGACGACGACGATGCTGACGAAGACTACTGCTACTAGTACATCGCCGACCGCCGCGTCGGCGACAATGAAGCACAGTAAGAAGAAACGTAGCAGCACTAATCATAATCGGAACAACAATGATAACACTGTTCTCAGTCATGATGCCAATGGGCCATGGCAACAACAATGGCAGTGAAAGCAGTTGGAGCCGGAGGAAGACTGGTAGTCGCGATGGCTGCACGGATGCTTGTGCTTACAATAACAAAACGAAGAGGTTGAAATATGCAAGAAGCAAAGCGCAATGCTGACAGAGATCATCTGCCCCCTATCTTCCGTTCTTGGAGTCGACGATGTGTAATCTGTCGAAGACCCACAATCCATGGAGTGAGTCTAGCAGCTAGCAGTAGTTCACAGCTAGACCAACCTACTTTTGCTGGCACTTCTGGGTCAGTGAAGCAGCATTGAAACTGGAAGTGCGAAGCGCTGTGATAAGTATTCGGTGGAGCGGTATCAACAGCTGTCTTATTTAGGGCTTCTGCTTCTGCTGTTCCAGCTCAGTGCGGGCTAGCAGCCACGTGGCCTCAATGTACTTCGCCACCAAAAACATCCAAGAGAGTGTGCTTTGACGAGACCACACAAGCCACGGGCTGGATTTCCGGCAGACTGGTCCCGACATTTAACATACGTACATCCAGCTGCCCTGTCAAGAAAACCTGAGATTTGTGGAGGGTTTCGGCTGCTTACGGTTTAGCTTAGCGTGCAGGGTTAAGGCATCACCAGCACAGCCTACAAAATGCTTGTTCCATACTATTTTATTCCAAGCTCCAAGTAGTTTTGTCACATCATAATACCCTGTGGTCGTGCCGTCAAGTTCCTGGTTTGGGGGGGTCCTAGAATTCGGTGCTTCGTTTGTTGAAATACTCTATGCCACGCAATGCCGCTGACTGCAGACGAACCCGATCAAGACACCTTCGTCCTAGCCCAAGAGGATCGCGAAGCGCTCTTGGGCCCTGTGGAGCCCTTTAAGGATCATGGCACTTAGCAACAAGGGCTGGAAGTAAGGTACCTGGGCATATACATACTATGACCCAAATTCAGGTATTTATATCCTTAATTAGTCCCATGATCCTGCAAGCAGGGTCTCAGTCTCTTCCGCGTTTTGTTCTGGACTGTGCAGTCAGCCTGAAAGTTCAGTCTTGTGGTTCTTGTCCAGCCCAGTGAACATGGGGATCCCAGACGTCCCAAAATGATGAGGGATCATTTGTTATCTTATTGTATCTTATTGTCATTGTTCTTATTTACTGGTTTTTTAGGAGTACTAGTAACTAGTAGTAGTATCATTGTTGGTATGATAGAAATCCTAAGCTTATCTGCCCATGAAAAGAGCCTATGACGAGTCCATTTTGAGGAACCCAAACCCTCAACCCTAAATCCTAAATCCTAACCCCCCAAGCCCTACATACACCCGAAAGCCGAACGGAAAGCCCTTCCTCAGCCCAGGACCTGGTTTAGGGGTTTTGGGGTTTAGGGCTTCGGGGTTTTAGGGTTTAGAATTTGGAATTTGGGGGTTTAGGGTTTAGAGGTTTAGGGGGCAGCCTAGGACCTAAGACGGACGTCACCGTTTGGCTGGAGAAGGAAATTCCTTGAATGAGCTAGACTGTTAGACTGTGAGCATTAATGAACATAGTATATGGTAGTAGCAAATCAATGCCTTGTTGTGTTCAACTGCAGTGTTCTACATTTGGTGTAGTATTCTGTGCAGGTTTTGGTTACCGGGTTTTGGTTTACGGGTTTGGGGGTTTAGGGTTTTGGGGCTTGGATGTTAGGGGTTGGTTTTTTTTGTTGAGCTTTGGGCTTGTCTTCCAGGTTTAGGGTTGTTGTTCCAGTTGCAGGTCTGACGATAATTATGCAGGCTGACTCCGAGCTCCAGACGCACCCACAAGACATCTCAGAGCGATTTTCTGGCGAGCTGCTTCGACCCGGAGTGCTCCTCCAACCCCGAGTTTAGGGTTTAGGATTTAGGGTGCAGGGCCCCTGAACCCTAAACCCCACCTCAACTCCTGGCGAGGCAGTATCGTTTCTTGTGCCCTCGCTCCTCCCCTTTCCCATCTGGCAGGCAGGCAGCACGGCCTGGATTCCACTGCGTCATAGGACAAAACATACGAAACATGCCATCAGACACTGTGAACGAAGAGCTTCGAGTTAATTAGGGTGCAGGGTTTAATCCTGCCACCTGCGAACTCTGAGTGCTAGACGCAGGCCCATCTTAAAGTTGCCTTGCAGGCCGGATCGTGAAGACATCAAAACATCGCTCCACGCATGAGTCGTTATCTCACGCCCTGACATTTGAAACGAATTCTTTCTGGAGCGAAGCGCTGTGCCTTCTGCGTATTGTGTGAGTGCAATATAGAAAGCCTAGACCCTTATTGGCCCCAATATATTTATTGTTCAGCATACCCCCCCAGCATCCCCAAACCTATTCTAACTCTTGAGGCTCCTGTAGAAGCATGCAGTTATTTGGAGTCCTTGCTTACGCTGTGTGGGCAGAGCTACGAAAACCTGCAGCTTCACTTGCATGTTAGTTTTTGCATGATGTCACGAGCAGAAAAAACGGACACAAAACAAAAAGAAGGAGCTTGGTTGTGAACCTTCGGGTTGTCCTTTCCATAGCTTCATAGTTTCAACTTTGAGGGTTTTAGGCTTCAGGGGATCAAAGGTTCACACTCAGAGCGCTATACGGCAAGCCCAAAAGCCTCACTGTTGGATACGGGAATTCAACACCGGCGCTTCTGGAAAGAGCGAGTGTATTGCCGTGATCCCTTATGGACGCCGATCCGGAGCCCGTCGCAGTTATTTGCATCGAATCGAGTACGTTCATTAACCTCATACAGTCTTATAGTCTTCGCACTTATATGCACCATTCTTAGGGTTTCTTGTAATCTTTACACTGTCTATATGTAATGCTGTACTCCAAAGCCCTATTCTAGGGATAAGGGTCCTTACATTAGCCAGAGGGGCCCACTGTGTGTGGGATCTCGATTCGAACTGTTGTGCGGTCTTTTTCATCGAAACTTGAAATCAAGCAGAAATAAGAACAGGGTTTAGGGTTGACAGTTTCGGCTGAACACCGAAATTTAAGATAATTTAAGAAAGGGAGCTAGAAATGACCCAGCCTGAACCCTAATCCCGAAACCCGAAACCCGGAACTTAATCCCAAACCCTGAAACGCCAAAGGCTGAGCCCTAATCCCTAATGCCTAATTAGTTAGAAACTAATTTGGGTTTGAGTGTGATGTCGCAGGCAAAATTGTGTCAATCCCACTCTGAGGATAAGCCCAGAAGCCCATAGAGCCGTGACCTTTCAGCCACGGACAGCAAAGCCTAAGCCTCGGCTGTAGAGACTAAAGTGTAGGGTTTTAGGGTTTAGGGTTTAGGGTTTAGGGTTTAGGGAAGCCCCCAAGTACCTTGGACAGGAGCCGTTTGATCCCCATCATATTTGGGCTTGACATCCCTCGACAAAGGGGGGGAGGTCAGTGATTCTGGGTTCCTGTGAAAGAACTTCAAATTTGCCTTAACACAAGGTTGACATTAGCAAACAGCACATCGTACGCTTCCCATATATTGGCAACTGTTGGGGGTAAGGACAAAGCCTTTATCAAGCGCCATTTCTGATCTTTACAAGACCCTCAAAAAAAAGTCTCACCGCAGCAACCTGCAAATACCCTAAACCCTAAACCCTAAACCCAAAAAACCCTAAACCCTACCCTAAACCCAAACTCCCAACCCTAAAACCTGTTCCTTCAAGGGGGTTACACAGGAACTGGGCCGCTGAGACGCCACAGTGGCCGGAAGAAAGCCGGGCAACTCGAGGGGTTTAGGGTTTAGGGTTTAGGAGTTAGGGTTTAGGGTTTAGGGTTTAGAGTTTGGGACGTAAGAGCTTGACCCTAGTGCTCTTAGGAAGTATATCTTGTGTTGGTTATTCTAAACCTCCAGTGGGTTATTCAAAATGTTATGTACATTTTGGTTCTAAGGGCACTAAAGGCGCACAGGTTCAGGGGTAGAGGGTGGCGGACTTGTAGGGGTTTCGGAGTTGTGAGGGCTTGGGTGTGCAGGGTTGAGGTGTTCAGGAGGCTTTAGGTTTTGCATTGTCATGTCTTTGGCTCGGGGTGCCTGATATAGAAGCCTAAATATATCATACCATGCCTGCATAGTCCTTGATATACTGATGGTAAACTATACCCTGCAAGCCACAGTCTAGTTACAGCGCCACGAGACCCCGCATCGGCCGTTTGGAAGCGCGCCTTCGGTTGAAGTTTAGGGTTTATATAGGGTTTTAGGGTTTAGGGTATTAGGTTCTAGATTCAGGGCTTTGGTGCACGACCCAATCCCTCCCGGTGCCCAGTGTCTAGAGTCTAGGAGGCAGCCGCTTTTGCGAACCACCCCGAGCCCTTAAAGCGCTTCTGAAACCCAAGCCAAACGCCGAGTGAACCCTTCGAAAGCGCTTCAAGATACCATACAGGCCAAAACATCACCAACATACTTCTAAATCACCTCAGACAAACACCACTAGACCTCTGTAATTAAACCTTACCGGCTGTGTTGTTGTTGGGTGAGGGGCTCCCGCTTTCGCGCCATATCATAACACGCTACACAATACAATTACAGCCCTAACGCTTCTGATATCCGCCAAAAACCAAGCCGTACATCCTTAATCCTTGAACTGCCCAAACTCTGCAACCCTGAACCGCAAGTCACGAGACCCTGAATCCCAAAACCCTGCCCGAGATTCCGATGCCACCAGGCGAAGCTCAGCCTTCTGATGAACCAGTCGAGGCGCAGAATGGGGAGGTGAAAGGGGGTTTCCAGGGCTTGGGGTTAAAGTAATGGGTTAAAGCCTGGGGCTTAGTGACTTAGTGGTTCTAAAACGTTGGGAGTAATGCGAGAGTTTTAGGCTGCGTTTTTTGTTCAATTTCAGGGTGCGGAGTTTTCGTGTTCAGGGGTGCGGTTTTGAACTTTGGAGTATGTAATCATCCAGCAAGATCATGAGAAATATCATGTGGGAGTGATGGAGGGGAGGTTTACTGGCTAGGGCATCTTCTGGGTACAGTTGTGATCATCTCCGACCCAAACAGACAAATAGTCAAACCTAAGGAATCTCAACACCAAAAGAAGCCCTGATTCTCCAAGAGGTTTTCCACGTCCCAAACTCCCAGACACTACTGTAGCAGTCCGGAATGGTTTGGTGGGTTTTTCGCGCAGCTCAAGTAAAGGTATCGCAACAGTCAAAGCGCATGAAGGGAGGTACATATTCGCATCATGGTGACTTACACGAATCAAATTCCTTGCCATCCCAGCCCCAAGCCCTTGCAATCTCAAAACTCAAAACCCTTGGATTCGGGCATTGAGTTTCAGATCCGAACCATTGTATCATCAAGAGCCAAAGCCTTTCGGGCTCCAGAATCCTCAAGCCCAGGACCCTCCATCAATGAACCCCTGATAATCTCTTAGAACCGGAGCCCCATGCCCTAAACCAACAGGACATGCTTCATAAAGGCGTAGCCCCAAGCCCAAACAGTGGTACACTTGAGCCCGACTTCATCAATCCTGAACGCGTCATTGGAACTACTGCTACTAGAGGATACCACTCGTTTTACTAGAGTCCCAACATAATTATACTACAATGCCAAAGCCTTACTATCATTCGAAAGCCCCCATATCGATATCCCATCCCAACCTACGCCTGGTAAACCCTGGAGCCTGCAAACGAAAGGAAGAGGAGGCCGTGCCCGGTCTCGCCGAGTGGCCTGCGCCTTTCCAGGGATTGCTCCTTGTGGGGTTCGGGATTTCTGGTATAGGGTTGTCTGTGTTGAATGCGTTGAAGGACCCTAAACTGTTATCAAACCCTAAACCCTAACCCTTAGCTTGGTTGATTCGGGCCTCGGGGTGCGTCGAAGCCGTAAGGTTCTCTTTGTCAGGCTTCATTGTCCCAAGCCTCGTCGCCCTGAAACCACTCAAACCCTACACGATCCCCAAGTTTTAATGCCCATAGGTTTCAGGGCTTCTGCGGGGCTCTGGGCCGCCTGAGCACAAGGCATAGACTTGAAATTTCTCCGTCCACTTTGATTGTACCGTTACACCCGTATGACAATTATACGACCGCTCTATATATATATATATATATATACTCCAAGTTTGGTAAGTTCAGGTCAAGCCGCATCACATAGTAGCAAGGCAAGAAACTCGGCCCTGCAGAGTGGCTCTTAGACCCTCCCCCGCGATTTCCGAGGTTGCAGAGCATCCATTTGCACCACTATGGTCCTAAGGCCGTTCGGGTTCAAAGGCCAAAAGAGATCTGCCTTGAAAGTTGTGGGCCGAAACTGGATTGACGGTTTAGGCTTTCGGGTTTGTAGAACTTCAGGCCTGAAAGTTCTTAGAGCGCCAAAGGCTGTTAAGTTCTTGACACTTAGGGTTTAGGGTTTAGGGTGTAGGGCGGTACCGTGGCCAGAGCTTCAGCGAGACCCTGACAAGCAATGGAAGTACGGCTGCTCTCCATCACATCTATGCTTACTCTCAACATTGGAACGGTCATAATCGGAGCGACCGTGTTAGTAGTTCCAGGCTCGATATGCGGGTTACAGTTAGGGTTCCTAATATATGTGCTACTATAAAGGTTACCAGGATGGGTACTAGTCTGAGGGTCAAGCCGAAGGTTTTTTCCTGCTGCGACCCAGGTGACGCTCAAGATGCTCAATCCTTGCTCTACTCTATGTCTATGACAATCATTCATCGACACTGACACTAAACCCTAAACCCTAAACCCTAAACCCTAAACCCACTGTAGGCGGAAGCCCAGGGGAAGCGATCCCGAGGCCTCAGAGTGAGGCACCGACTTGTCCCCAGAGGCTACTCCCCATGCCTTTTGCCGTAGGGTTTAGGGTTTAGGGTTTAGGGTTCCTGGCCTTTTGCACCTTCGGGCAGTTTTTTCCATACTGAGACCTCAACCTCGTCAAGCCCGAACTACACTCCTACCTCCAAGCTGCTGCAAACATTCGTGCTCCTGGCCAAAAACCCACGGCCTCATAACATACTGGCCGAATCAGTATGATTTTTTTATAGTAGTATCCCTTATGAGGTCCCTAGTAGCATGATAGCCGCAGCACCCTATTCCAAGTTTTTGGGCTCGTATATACTAGACGATGGAAGCCGCAGAGCAGTCGGTGCAGGCTGCCGAATGGTGCGCTGAAATGGGCGCAGTCTGGTGCCCGAGTGGGGTTTGTAAACAACCAGGGCAGTCTATTCCGCAGCGCAATTTGAAGTGTGCCGCAGTCAGGAGTCAGGGATTTGAAGCCTGGGGGTACTTTATTTCAGGGCCAACTCCTTGGGTTCGTTATTCGCATGCTGCCCGTCGTGGCTACAGTCTGCAACTCTCCAAGTCGACATAGTACAGGAGGTTTCTATCCGGATCACAATTCCACCGAGTTCACGATGACCGGCATGAGTCACTCTGTGCTGCAAAGCCCAGGGTTCTAGAGTTTGGGTTTAGGGCTCAGGGTTATGTCGGGCTTAGCATTTAGAGTCTAGGGTTCATTGATTTTCGGTTGTGCCTGAAGCGGTTTAGCTTTGCATTGCAAATCCTGAGCCGGCATAACTTATAAGAGCCGTAAGAGTGCAATGGTTCTTGCCATCCTGACTCTATCTTGCACTGAGCTGGTCTTTCGGTGCACTTTGTGATCGGTTGCTAGCCTCATGCAGTTCAAAACGAAGCTTGGGGTTTGGAAGTTTCGATGTCCTTTTCCTTCACTGCTGCGAAAGGCCCACACCTCTGTGCATCGAGCCTGGCACGCAAGCCCTAACCCCTAAATCCTTAGCCTTCTACTGGACGGCTGGGGCCATCTTCTGGGGGGCGGAGGAGCTCAGACAAGTAAACACTCTCCAACTTCATGTCATGCGGAGCGCCTTCGGCATTGGTCGTGGTCGAGACGAAAGCTGGGTCTCGTGGAACTCCCGAAGCATGCGTGAATGTCGACAATGGCTTGCCTACAGCCAGCTTCCCAGGTGGTCGACACAAATTCTAAAGCTTCAGCACACACTACATGGACACTGGGCCAGAAATGTTGAAATCATAGGGTCGCCTGGTAGCCCTGTCCCGTGCATCGCCATGCGTGCCCTGCTATGGCGGAACTCGCGTTGGTGGAGATCACAGCAAGACTTGAGTCGTGGGGTCGGAGCCAGACACCGTGGGCATGTCTATATCAGTAACACTGAACGACAACTTGCAGAAGTGCACGGCACTGAATGGCATCCTCTTGCACAGAACCGCGAGAGATGGTCACAGGAACGTCAGGCATACTTGTCGAGATGGGATCCTCGTTGGTGCCATGGCCGACAGGCTGCAATTGAGTACTAGCTTCGTTGCCCTTGACCTGGGATGAATGAAGCCCGCCAAGCTGAAAACTTCCGGGTACGTGGGCAGACAGCCAGTCAGTGTAGTTGTCGGCATACTGTGTGTTCGACTGTGTGCACTTCACGTTCCTCAGGCAATATCTTACTATGAGATTTCCAAACATGCTCTACCTGAACCTTTTCTTACTATGAGATTTCCAAACATGCTCTACCTGAACCTTATGTCTGTTTCGTGTATCTGCCGACCTTAGGATCGGCACTTGCCGTTGACAGCCTTCTTTGTGAGCTCATGTCATGTCCTATCCGAACCCAATGCTCGTTTTGCGTACTTGCCGGTCCCCATGCTCGGCCACCACAGAATTCTGCATGAATGCCGTGTCTCGAGGTGGCTGTGACTCTCAAGGACAACCTCCCTCCTCAGCCGCCCGCACTCCTCGCCTGTGAACCATGGATGGCAGCCCCCTCCGCGACTTCCTTGTGCTCTGCGTGCTCCTGGCGCTTGCCTATGCCGGCCCTCCGTACCAAGAAGGTCCACCACAACCATATACGTCAGCCTGGGATGATGATGATGAGCTCTCCGCCGCCTCTACGTGCCCTGCTCCGAGGGTGACCTCGCAGACCATGCCTACACAACATTGGTGGCCCACTGCCTGGGACTACGAGGACGCGAGCGAGCCGGCTGACACAGGGGTGACATGTTCTACCTCTTCGCCTTCCTCGACGCAACATGGAGGTCAAACCCTTGGGGGTGTGACCCTAGAGCATGGAACAGGTACTACTTCCCGTCCTTGGACGAATGAAGAGATCACCGCATACATGGCAGCAAGGTGGGATGAGAACTACAGCCTGGGGCTTGCTCAGGAGTTGGACGCCTCCGAAGTCCAGAACACCACGTTCTACGATGGTGAAATGATGCCACCTCCGCCTGTACCTGAGGACTTGCCGATGCCGGCGCTGTGGGAGACTCTGCATGACAGGCAAACTCCAGTGGCTGCTGTCAATGACAAGTTGAACGAACAAGGAGAGCCCGAGGTGGATTGGTGGGAGGCAATCGTTGACAAAAGAAACCTTCGCCAACGTCGACAAAATACTGCAGAGAACAGCCTGGGTGATAACGTGGTCGGCCACTCTACCTCAAGGACAAGAATGCCGATTGGTGCTTCCAGTTCATCGACTTCATGGACAACTGCGAGCTCGTCTACGTCCTGGACAAGACCGACCACGTCATCGTCAAGCTCCTCCTCATCAATGCCTGCGAGCACTTCTTCGACCCGCCCTGGGCCATCGTTATTGACTATGTCAGAGAGCAATATGGGTGACGTGCTGGAGGGCCCCCAGGGTGTCACACAGAGAGGTGGACAATCACGTCCGGGCCGAGACCGATGGCATAATCCGGATGGAAGCATCATCGTGCGGCGACGTCTTCGTCTTCAACAGGAAGCGGACAACCGAACAAGCAGCCACGCGACTGGAGACGCCCAGCAGCCCATGGACACCAACCAGGCCCAGCTGAGCCAACAACCTTTACCTGCATCAGCCTCCTCGTCTACCCCATCGGCACTTGCACCCATTCCGGAAGCTGCGCTGTTTGAGGTACAAGGAGTCCAAGCACTACCCGGCAACACTGAGGCACTCCTTGACGTGAAACTCGTGACCGGGCAGCGCGGCCAAGTTCGAGCGAGCCCACCCTGGCCCTCTCACGGAGACACCAGCGACTCGACCACGGCCGGGGAATCACCTGTCACCACGGAAGAGGAAAACTGCCAGGGGGACACGGAGGCTTCATCATCGGAGGACAACAGACCGGGGGGGTTTTGGCGTCATGGATCGTGGGTGAACCGCGAGCGAACACCTAGTGAACAACGCAGCCATATGGGTGGAATGGGACCGCAACGTTCGCAACGGAAACAGGAGAGAGCGGCCGCCTACTTCCGGGGCGATTGGCGTCCTGCCTGGCTGGTCAACTATGCGAAGGACAAACAAAGGCGTGAGAGTGCGGCTATGGCGGCTGCCCCCGCGAGGACGGACAATACAGGATGTACGGATGACGCCGACTCAGCTCAGGCCTCGGCCAGCAACCTCCCTCCCACTTCGACGTCACCGTCTATGAACTATGCTGGAGAAGAGGCAGGCATGGAAGAGACTCCGGTGACCTCCACCCAGACCGAGACGCAGAATCAAACTGAGTGGTGGAGCACGTGGTATGGATGGAATGAGTGGAATGGTTGGAGCTGGAATGGGGTGAGGTGACGTTGAAGCAAGACAGTGGCGTGATTGGCAGGATACATCGTCAGTGGGTGATTCTGCCTGGACTACCACCTGGACTACCACATGGACATCTACGACTTGGAGCAGCACGATGACATCCTTGTTGACGATGAGCAGTACGAGCACCTCCACAGGTGCTTTCGTGGGGCATCAAGCAGGAATGCATGTGGTGAGTGCACCTAACGAGGAAGTTAGTGACGAGGCGCCCTACTTCCCACCGAACTTCGGCCTCTTCCCCGTCGTCACTGAAGTTCCTGGAGACATGGAGAATGCGCAGGAGACGGACCTTAACTTCCTCATGCAGATGACAGGGGCGGAACGCCAGCGACTACAGGAAAGAGGAGTGCCGATGGCAGAAATCGACAGGCTCGAGGACTTCCTGAATAGATTGGAAAATCACCAAGATACGGGAACTGGTGCCGAGTCAAGATGGGCGGTGAGGCGACTGGTACAGCGACTGGAAGAAGGACTGGACAACATTGACGAGATCCTGGTGGTCCTCACAAGGAGACTCATGCCCAGGGGCTTCTTTCCTATAGAGAGACTGCCAGCATTGGAGTCCATGCGGTGGAACCTGTTTCAATGGGTGCGAAATTATGGTGACTTTGCCAGGGACATCCTACAAAGGCACCTAGCGATTCCACTGCAAGCAAGTGAAACCGTCGCCTCTCCGCCACCACCACCGGAGAGTACCTCCAGCGTCATGGGATCCACTGAGCTTGAGAGAACTGAAACGTCGGTGCCTTCCTCGTCTTCCTCTTCGGGAGTACCTGGCGGAGGGGTGGGATCCAGATCCACGCGAAGTCGATCACGCAGTCCACGTATCTCTGAACATCGGACAGACGACGAGGAGACGGAAGAGATCACGCTGCCAGACCCCTCGACGCTCCCGGGTATCTGGCGCGACCCTCCATTGGTTGACCTACGAGGGAATGACACGATCTTCGGTGGCGCCAGTTCCTCTACTGCCAACAACGTCGCGCCCGCCCTTGGTAGGATGGTCACCGGCACAACGACGACGACAGCATGCCCCTGCTGGGGGGTCGAAATGGTAGAGGAACATGTTGGTGATGATGACGTCTGCTTCCTCCTGCAGTTCCTCGAGCCGTCACTGGAGGCAGATGGGGTGATCTCTCTGACGTCTTCCTCCTCCACATCTACGACTACAACGACACCAGAGCAGGGTGGGAATGTTCGGGACATTGTGAACTTCCAGCTGCAGTTTGCGGGGGACGCGGATGTGATTGACGTTGTCCGGAGGCTTCTTGACCGACAGCGGATGCTACTACGACGCCAGCACAATGTCAATATTGCCCTAGAAGAAACTCTGGGATGGGTACGGAGGGCAGGACATTCCCTGGCGCTCAATGCGGCGGAAATGGAAGCCAACATTTGGGGTGTCATTGTCCGTGAGGCAGCTGGCTCGTCTGGATGCCCCGCAGGGGGTGGACCAGAGTTCCTTGAACCTGCGGCAGTCCTACTTCAACCGGGGTTGCCAGTTAGTGTGGCGGCAGCTAATGCGGCCTTCCCGCAGCAGATGCCGTCGACAACGGCTGGAATGCGAAGAAGATTGTGGCGCAACCACATGGCAGCCCTCCACCAACAAGAAGGTCTCCCTCTTCCGCAAGGTCGCTGGCCAGATGAAGATGATCGGGCGCTTTATTTAGTACAGACAGCTCCGGAGGTCCCTATTGACAATCTACCAGAAGGCACGCCACTTCCGGAAGATCCTGTACGTGATCGACAGGTGCGAGGACGAGCCGGCCGTCGACGTGATCGCGTGCACCGTCGCCTACCGACGCTGGTTCATGGTGTGGTGGTGGATCGTCATGTTTCGGTGGGTGCACTACCCCGTTCGTCCATGGCAGGCTCGACTTCGTTGCGGAACGTGGAAGGTGCTCCACGCACGGATAGATCCAGAAGTCGTGATGAAGTTCCCTCGGAAGCCGACATGGGGGATGAGGACACGTTGACAGATGACGAACTCGCTCGTGAAGCCCGTATTCGCCATGGTCGCCGAAAGGGTCGGGGCAGCAGTCCTTCTGAGCCGCGCACTGAGCACAGCTAGGTGACGATGAGTGTTGGGTCTGTTGTACAGGTTGGTCCCATGGTCTACACTTGTGCTCTCTTGGCCGTAAGTGCCTATGTCTGCACTGCTGTGTGCCTTCATGACTGGACCATGAGGGAGTTAGGCCTAAATGGTGTGGAGATCGTACAGTCCCTGAGAGCTCGTGAGGCAGGGTCTGGCTGGTGCCGTATGCCAGAGTCCATGCTGAGCGTGTGTTTTCTTCTGTGGCCCTGTGGTGAACATTGGGTCCTGTTTGGAGTGTAGGCCTCGAATGAGGCAGGCTTTGCAGGAGAAAAGGCCACTGCACTTTAAAAAAAAAAAATCCTTAGCCCTAAACCCTCAACCCCAAAGCTTAGCCTCCAAGCTCTCCTCATCAAGCTGCAGCTCACTTCTCTCGCAGCCTGAAGCCGAGAATTGGGAAGCAATGTAAGAAGCCTGAATAGTTAGTTGCAAACCTCTCAAGAGTGTTTTATACAATAACTACTGTACCCCAAAACCCTATTCTCATCATCAAGGACCTTCTATTACCAAATAAATCAAATCCTGTCCTATCTCGCAGGCTCAAATAATTAGCTCCCGGACCGAGGGCCTTGTTTTGCTCAGGTGTCGACTGACGAGATCAAAGAGTGCTGGCAAGAGTTTGCCCAGGAGCTCCATCCCACCCGCCCGAGCTCAGAGTCAGTTAAGACTAGGATCCCTTTACGAGTCCCGATGCAAATTATAGTATAGTATCGCACGGACAGCGGTCTCAATAACTAGTCTGTAAACTATGGTATTTTCTTGAGTGCTCCTGAAGGACTACGGAACCATATCTCCCCAAGACCCTGTTCGAATAACTAAGGCACTGTATTGCCCATCCGGTGAACAGAACCAGACTTCCCAAATCCAACCTATCCGGGCATTCTCGCCATGAAGCCTTTACCCAAGCTTGGCCCTGCATCCCTGAGGCGCCGAATCGTAACAGGGACACTCAACCGCAAAACCACAAACAAAAACCCTGCAACGCACGAACAAGAACCCTAAGCCCGAAAGCACAAAAAAAGCCCCAGAAATCCCAAAAAAAAGGACCTTGGCTTGAAGCCTTTGGAGAAGAAGCGCCTTGAGAAGGTGCGTCCGGAAGTCTCTGAGACCTCAGAAGCTGCAAAACCGCTTAGTTGAGTCATAGACACTATAATAAAGGTTGTAGTAGCAACCCTAATTAATAGTTAAGATTTAAGGTATGCTCCTTACTTAATTAAGGCGTCCCGAAGTCTCTGAGACCTCGGTAACCTCTCGGTGTGTGAAGAGCTCTTTGGAGTCCAGGTGTTAGGATGACTTAGGGCTCGAGGTTTAGGATTTCAAGGGGTTTAGGTTGAGAGTGCAACTGCTTGCTGGTTAAAGCTGTAAGCCCCCAACGCCCAAAACTCCAGTCCTCAAGCCCTAAACCCTAAATCAAAAAAGCCGTATATAGCTGAAACTGCAAGGTTTTCTACTGCAGGAACCCTTGAGAAGCTCTTCTGGCGGAGCTGACGGCGCGCACCTGTATCCTGAGCTCCAAACCACCCACGACTCTAAAGCCTAAACCTCTGAGACCGAAAACCCTGGAGCCCTTAAAACTCTAAGACCCTAATGCCCTAAGCCCCAAACCCTAGAGGCCCTAGAGCCCTAAAGCCGAAGACCCTAAAATCCCAAACCCTAAACTCTCTAACCCGGCCAGGCGTGCAGATAGCGCTGGGGACTCCGGGCCCTGGAACCACTTCGGGGCCTCGAACGCCTCCGCCTGGAAAGATCGAAAAGCATGATGCAAGAGTGGGCTCCTGTGAGTCTCTGAGTACGGGTCCCTATAACTTTCCACAGTTAGGTAACATTGTAAAATGACAACCTCTACGATCCCACCCCTATCAGGAACGGTTTGCGCAAGGAGTTGGGGGATCGCTGATGGGCTCTTGGGTTTGCTGTTCAGAGGGTTTTGGGGGGATCCTGAGGCTTAGGAGTTACGGTGAAAGGCTGCGGAAGTTAGGAGCAATTCCTGTGGTCGCGACTGCGAGGTTTACCGATCCCTGAAACCGAAGCCCCTACAGAGATTCGAAAACTAGCCCAAAGCCCTGAATGGGACTTCGGGTTCAAGGCATCACTTCGGCTGTTCAGGACTTAGGGTTTGAGGGTTTTTTGGGTTTAGGGTTTGGGCTGAACTCGACAAGAATCGTCAGACTCTAAGCATCAAGCTTCCGGTGGCCGAAACTTCTTGCCAAGGCTACAGGTCATATCCGATGGCCTTGAGATAAAACCAAGCCTGGAGTTCGTGGCATTTCCGAGAGGCCCCCGACACCCAACTCCAAGATCCCGAGTTTGTGGGCGCCTCAACTCGCTGGACCCTTCTATGTTGACGATGACAGCTTGAGGCTTAGGTTCATCAGCCCCATCCCCTCGATTCTAAGTTCCTACACCTCCAATACAAAAACCTGAAGAGTTACAAATACGTGAGTCCACAGCGGTCCTCATTATAAGTCTGCTATCATGTACCCCAAAACCCTATTCTAATCACTCCGGTAGCGGTTGTAGAACAGATCAGCCTCAGCCGAAGCATGAGTGGTGATGCGTCCTCCACAGCCCCGGGTGCCTCCGGGAGGATGAGGACTCGTCTAAAGGTTTAGAGGGTAGGGTCTAGGGCCTAGGGTTTAGGGTTTAGGGTTTAGGGGTTTAGGGTTTCGGGGTTTAGGGTTTAGGGGTTTAGGGTTTAGAGTGTAGGGTCTAGGGTTTAGGATGGCACCCTCAGGTATCATATGTAGTCTCATGGTGCTCCTCAAAAATTGAAGTATGTATGCAATTCAACTCGTAGTAGTGTCATAGTGCTCCGTAAAAATTTCCGGTCATTGTACATTGTACAGCATCGCACATGTCCAGAATCATCTTCCGATTGTGCTGGCCTCTGTAAACCAATCGGGTAGGGCTTCGGGCATCTTCGGGCGTTCGGAGTAGAGGGATTTGAAGGCAATGTAGCGGTGCGTCATGACGGATTGCCACCGGGAGTCACAGCTTCGCTGCTTTTGGGCTGGTGGAGCTCAGGGTTTTGTGAGGGTTTCCGGTTTTAGGGTTTACGAGGCTTGGGACTTATCGTTCATGTTTGGCTAAAGGTACGCCGGCTGGAACCGTTTAAGTTGCATGTTGAGGGCTTGGGGGTTGGAGTCAGAATCTGGGAGCCTCATCCGCACAGTAGAAGTTACGTATTTCCAAGGACATGATTGTTGTTCACATGCAGAACGTCTAGGTTCCCTAGTAGTACCCTTTTGCTCTTGTTCTTTTTGGGTTCCCTCGCAAAAACCAAAATGCCAGGAGAATGTGTAGCACAACGGAATTCTTGACAAGAGTTGGCATCAACTGAAGTTTCTTCTCTAATCCATAAGCCCTAAACTACCCATCCGTGCACCAGCAAACCCTAAACTACCTAGACTGCCGGACCTCAGCCTGAAGCCGATAATGCTTAAGCGGGAGCAACGCTTCGGGAGGAAACCGCGTGTGGGTCTAAATACTTCGGCCACCGTCTGAGATCTGCTCCATCAATAGGGTCTTCAGGCAGAGGGCTCGCAGGGTACTGGTCTTCGGGTTCGTAGGGTCTTGGGTTTAGCTTGCTGTAGGGTCGAGGGAGTTTACGGAGGCTTCACAGAGTTGCGCTTTGGTCGGATGCTTGCCCCGATTATGTGTGGGTTTAGGGTTTCGGGGAGGAGCATGGGGATCCGACTGTCGGGCCCGGGCTCGAAGCACAAGTAAAGAAGTGCGAGGCAAGGATGTGGGTACGAAGTTCTTTAAACCCGGGTCCCCCAAAATAGTGCGGCACCCTTATCAAAGGGACCTTAGAAGGGACTCTAGTTTAGAGCGCTAGCCGTATGCATGCAGCCGTGTCGGGTCGTGATGGCCGCTCGTTTTTGACTGAAACCGGAGCTACCCACTCGTACTGCCAACGGAAAGTTTGAAACGTGAATGGAAGCCGTTGCTCCTATGCACCAAGCCCTCTGATTATGAGAAGAAGAACACACCGGGACTGGCATTAAACCCTAAACCCCGAAGCCCTGAACCCTAAAACCCGTAAACCCGAAACTGCGCACTTCCATGGTGCAGGATTTCTGCACTTCTGCTGTGAGTCAATGTTTCAGGCCCGTGGTGGCCAGTCCAGACGTGCATCTCCCACGAATCGCACGAACTATGAC